TCTTTTCCAACCTGAACTATCGCCACTTACTCAACTAAGTATGAAAAGAAAACAACTGATAGTTGAAATGTGAAATTCATGAAAAAGTGATAGTTCAAATATATCGTTGACCTTATTTAATGAAAAAGAAAATAATTGTATTGGAAGTCTAATATTGTTATATTGACGATCACATAGATCTATAAAAAAAAAAGTGATGTGACCAATAATTTAATACCAAAACGTGTGTAGAATTGGAGAAGGAAGGTTCATTTATATATATATATATATATATATATTCTTCCCTTTTAGAAAAGTTTGGGCATGTAAAGAATCATGTCTGCATTTAATTATGGACTTTGCACTATTTAAGATGAGTGAATTGATACATCTTCAGAAAGCTAAATGCTTCATGGCCTGCACTTGCACTTATGCGCGTTACATCAACTATAGTCTATACCACTTCTCGTTATCGTCTGAGATGAATTATACATATAAGATACATAAATAATATATATTTTTATATATTTAGTGACTGTTTTTACTTTAAACAGTTGACATAAGTATTGAAAATATCTTTAAACTTGACATGAATTATTAGTTTCGTCCTCGAACTAATAACAGCTTTAAAAGCACCCTTCTACTTATACTAACTGAACTTAAATACACCACTAATCTTGCCACATGAGTGAAATACACCCCTAAATTTTCGCTAAATTTAGGAGTATTTTCGATACTTTTTTTGACTTTTTATTAAGAACTTCATTCTCCTATAAGAGTTTGAGACCACTTACTTTGCCATATAACAAATCAGATGTGTATTTAAGTTCAATATTTATTGTTTTTAAAATTATCAATAGTTCATGAGCGAAACTAATAATTAATATCAAGTTCAATAGTGTTCTCAGTACTTCTTTTTGAATGAGTTTGATGGTGACTATTTAGATTGATTATTTTACTTAAAACTCCAAAACAAGGATTAATAGATTTAAACTTTTATAAATGTGTTTCTTTAGTCAAACAAGAAGCACTAGCTTTTTGGTAGAGTTGGCATAGGCAAAACCGTACAATATTCCCATCTAAATCATAGACTTAGAAGTCCATTAATGTTACCATTAAAAGATAAAACATTTGTCATTTGTTTGGAGTACAATTATTCTCATCACCAAATTATTTCTCACCGAAAGTACTTTTATAAAAAAATATATATTTTAAAATAAGTTGATTTTAGAAGTTTAACACTTGTAAAAAGCTTGACCAAACAAATAAATAGTTAGTATTTTTCTTAATTTATTTATCAAACACAAATTACTTCTGATCGAAAATACTTTTTTGAAAAAACTAAAACATAAGTAAATTTTTCGAATATTGGCCAAACAAAACAAAATAAATTCCTTTGGACTTCCATCATTTTAGGTATATGAAAATGACCATTATAGAGAGGGAAAAAAAGAACACATTGCAAGGGGTTAGTTGATTAGGCCAACCCTATTTAAGGATGGAGATGGATATAATAATAACGATAAAAAATCAAATAAAAAAGGCATTCTATAAAGATAAGTTCAAACTTAAAAGGTCTTTCGGAAACAATTTTTTATCTTCACGAGATAATGGCAAGATCTGCATATATTTTAACCTCCCAATACCTCACTGGTGAAATTTCATTAGATATGTTATTATCATTATACTGTTTATTAATTTAGGATAAGTACGTTCTTGAACATTCAACTGCAGCAATAATTCATGGTTTCCATACTAAATTACAAATTACGTAATTACCGAAAACACTAATACTGATTAATTATATCTCAAAGTAAATGGATTAATACTTGATTAACACGTTGTTCTAATCGATTTGCTTGATTAGGCCAAATGAAGCCAGTACGTTGTTGCTCATAATGGGTCGCATTATACGAGGCGGATCCAAGATAATTAAGCTTTACGAGTTTATTTTTTAGAGCTATGCTCTTAGCATTGAACTCATGCAATACATATTATAATGAATATAACAAATCAATATCACCCTGATTAATGATTTCCACATAACTAATCCGAATTAATTCGAACATATACCTTATCTTCACATCAAACTACTCCTAACACATATGACTTTGTTAGCCCATTCTTAATATAATGTTAGTTGAGGTGCAAGCTATATATGTGTTGGTTTTCATTTGTTTGTTTGAATTGACCAAACTCTAACCATATCTTTCTCATTTCATGTCATAGATTTGTTGTCTTCATTCCTACCCCCACCCCCAACCCAAGAAAGAAAATAAAATAAAATTACTATACTATCATTTCTTTTATCATGCCTATATAAAGTGATATTCGCACTTTGGCTTTATATATATATATATATATATATATATAAAGAATGAATCTATAGTTTTCACTTGAAGTAATTAATTTCCTCACTTTAATTTATAGGGTGAAGAAAGTTGAATTCATGCATGATGAGTGTCGATACTTTTTCCACCTTTGTAAAATGTGCTTTATTAATTTGAGATTTCCCCTTAATTAATTCATTTTGATGATATTATTCTATGATCAATTAAAGATAAAGTAAAATGGATCAAACATCATTTTTCTTTGATTGAAGTTTCTCTATAGTACATACTATATGTTTAAGTGCAATGTATGAGAGAATTAAACAAGGAGAATTTTCTTTGATTTTATCTCACCCCAAGCCCTTAATTCATTCTTAATTAGAGTTTCAAATTTTGAAATAAAGTCATTTCTTATAAAGATTTTTTTTTTTTTTGAAATTTCATCCCGTGCTCAACTGTTCAGATTAAAATCAGAAAGTTCCATATTGGAGGTAAAACACTTTCTAACAAAGGCGACTTTGTATCGAGGGAATTCGAACCTGAAATCTCTAGTTAAGAATAAACGAGTACTTATCACTTCAACACAACACATTATTATTGGATATAGAGAGCATCTTGCTTGCGAATACCAATTGAATATCAGATGAGAAACAAAAAGCTGATTACAATTTACAACACATACTGGCATACATACAAAAGTGACTAGATTTGTTTTGAGCTTTAACCTTTTGTTCCAACTAGCTCATACGTGGATTCAAAAAAAATCTAATAAAATTTTGAAAAATATATAGTAGTAATATGATTTGGCCTACTTGATAATGACAAGATGCATTGTAGTGGTTTTCAATACACAGCACCACAAAAAGAGCAGCTCATTAATAGCAAAAGAGTACAAAAAAGTGATAAAAATAAAATAAATGAAACTCATTGAAGGAAGATCATATCAATGTGCTCTTTCATTGATTCCAATTTTTACAGCTTACACTAAAAACAACACCTACTCTCTGGACATGTATAGGGGGGGGGGGGGGTGTCATATAGTGGTCAGGTACAATGACTCAAATATTTTGTTTTGTACTATACCAACATATTCGGTGTGATACAGAAGTGAAATTTGAAAAGAATAGAATATAAGCAGATATTATTTCTATTCTGCATGGTGTGATATACAAATGGAATTTGAAAAGAGTAAAATGATACATAAACGCTATCTCTATTTTATGTGGTATATTGTGTGATTGACAAGTGGAATATGAATAAAATAAAGTATAGGCGGACGTTATTTCATTTTGTGATAGATAGAAATATTTCTGATAGACCTCAATTAAAAAAAAAGTTTGAGAAATTAATATTTTGCTAATTTGCTTGAACTTAGCTAGATGGATCAATTTGTCATTCGTTACTAAGCGGAATTAAATATTGGAAAAATTATATAAATACACAATTTGAGATATCATAATTTCTAAAATTCCCTACTATTTAAAAAAAAATACAAAAATTTCCTCTCGAATACATCCCTATCTCTTTCGGATACATCTATCCCTTCCTGGATACATTCCTATCAGTGGCGTAGTTAGAATTTTTATTAAGGGGGTTCAAAATTTGAAGAAGTAAACACCCAAACTAATAGAAGGGGGTTCAACATCTACTATATATACATAAAAAATAATTTTAACCATGTATAATTCCACCGAAGAGGGTTCGGATGAACCCCCTGAGAGTACGTTGGCTCCGCCCCTGATCCCTATCCTCTCTAGGATACATCCCTCTCATTAAGTAATATATCATTTGCAATGTATCGGATAACTAAAAAATGTATCCGAGAGTAATAAAAAATTTGAGATTTTTGTAATTGAGAAAACTTCTGAATAGGATGTAATTAGCCCAGGTGTATCAAATTTCTGTACTTTATACAATTATATATATGATCCTCTAATTTTATAAAGGAAAAAAAGATCAAAATAAGATTATTTTACATAGGTCAAAGACAAATTTAAACCATTTCCCTTATATAATAAAGAAGAAGAAAATAAAGAAAAAGAAACTCCTTTTTTCCGGTAGACAGTAATGGTATAATTTTAGAGAAGATAAAATTTAAAAAATGTAAAGATAGAGTATATTTGCAAATTAAATAGAAATCCAATAAAGTAAAGTAAAATTATGGGTGATAAAATTAAACCCAATTCATTCAAATCGCCCAACCTGTTTAAAATTGGGTGGGTTAATTATTAAGTAAAGTAAAATTATGGGTGATAAAATTAAACCCAATTCATTCAAATCGCCCAACCTGTTTAAAATTGGGTGGGTTAATTATTAAGTAAAGTAAAATTATGGGTGATAAAATTAAACCCAATTCATTCAAATCGCCCAACCTGTTTAAAATTGGGTGGGTTAATAACCCACCCATTTATTAGCTCGATCCATTTCAATCTATTAAAAATTGGGTTGATATATAATCCAAATTGGCTCATAAAAAATCTTGTCAAATTTTTTTAAAAAAAAAACAATATGTTGTGTATAACTCTAATAAAGAAAAAATAATTTTATAAGGCACTAAAATAATTTAAAAGAACAAATAAAATAATTGAGCTTAGTAAAAATTGGATTGAGTCTTAACCTATAGTGTAACCCATTTTGACCCAAACAAATTTGAATTGGACGGGATCATAACCCGTCCAAATTTCACCGAACCAGCACAGTTGTCACCCCTAAATTTACTTATTAAAAAAAGGGAAGAAGATAATTAATTTTAAATAAAAGAAAAGAAAAGCACAAAAGTTAAGTTTTAGATTCCCCAAATCACCCCGGCAATCCCTAACCCCTTCATCACTGATCCCGTTTCTCTACGGTCGCCGCGATTCATATTTCCCGGCCAGCGAACTTCACAATTGTTCTCCGGCCGCCGCCGTCGCCGTCGCCGTCTCCATTGGTATGTATATTTTTGGTACTATTGCGTATTTTGATTGGAAAATGATCGGGAAATTGAGTGTTTTAAATATGCGGTTTTTGTTTAATTTATTGTTAATCCAATTTATGGTTGTTTTTCATTTATATATAGAGTAGTGAATTCTCCTAAAGTTTCAGTTAAGTAATTGGATAATCAACCTTCAGAAACAGGAATGCAAAAACCTAATTTCTGATATCTGCCACATAGTATCTCTTATTCTATTTACTTTTTTGATTTGATATGTAAGAATTCAAAAAGTAGTATAAGCTTTTTATTCCAATAAACTTTAATCTTTAAGTTCATTTTGTGAACACCTATTTAGTATATGAAGTTAAGAAACAGAGGTAACTATTGTTCAGAAATCTATGTTACTCCGACTATCTCAAAATGTTGCTGCACTCGTGTTGGATTCTCCAAAAATGCACTACTTTTGAATATCTGATAGGCATGTCGATACTTTCAAAGAGTACAAGCAATATAGTTTGAAATTGAATCACGACTTGTCGTTTTGGAGTTGCTGAAAATCAAATGTTTGAACTAGGCACAATGACATTTTTCTTATTACTTGAATTTTGTTTGTTTATTTTCCTTAAAACCCAATGATTGTTACTTGTTAGATGTAACTTAAAGAAGAAAAATGCTGATAAAAGTGATCATAGAAAATAGTGAAGACTAGAAGTTCTATATTGCATCATTTACCAATAGAAATGTATGCGGTAAAGGTAGAAATGCAATTGAAACTTTCAAATCTGTTGAAGCACATAGAGTTTTTAGTATAACCGTAGTTACAGCCCACTGATTTAGAATTTTGAATATATCTATTACAGCCTGCGGATTTTGAAGCATAAGAGAAGAAGGGCCCTGGATTGACCATTCCAACAAGTTGTCCACGTAGCTTTCTGGGTTGCGAACTATAATTGACACATAAGGAAGCGTCTGCACTAGGCAGACTCCATGTGCGGATGATCTGTTACTTGTTAAGTCGAGGAATGAATGCTTGTTAAGGACTTGATTAGCTGATCTTCCATCGTAGGGTTTCATGCTCGAGCTATTATCGGCTTGGCAAAGGACGAATTCGCTTCACTTTAAAGTAGGTGTGCAATGGAATTGAATGCTAACGTGTCCACAAAAAGGACAATAAACCCTAGGAAGACGGATATCGGAGGTAAACCCTTTATACTCATCATTTGTGGCAGCCTCGTTTACTACCACTGTGCCTATCGGAATTCTAGTCTCGTCTCTCTCATCTCAGACGTCTTTATTGTACTCCTTTGTTCCCTCGCCATTCTCGGACTCCTCTTTCGCCAGATGAACATCTCGGTACCTGTGGATCCTCTTGAGTGGCAGATCTCTCAGGACGCTGCCAACATGTTTTTTGCCTGCCTCGCCAATACTATCGGTGCTGCTGAGTCTGTTCTACGGGTTGCTGCTACTGGCCATGATAAGCGCTTGTTCCTTAAGGTTGTGGCTGCTCTGTATGTTCTATCATCTCTTGGAAGGATAGCATCGGGTGTTACCATTGCCTATGCTGGACTCTGCTTTCTTTGCCTTTACATGCTCGCTGAGAACTTGCAATTGATTAGCTCGAGGTATCCAAGGAGAAGAGACGGCACGAACACAGTTCAGGACGACTAAATTGATTTGATCCGGTTCAAAAAGGATGAAGGAAGGAGTCAATGCATTATTTACAGCTCTTGCTTCTAGTTATGCCAGGTTCATCGCGTGTTATTTGCCTTATTAATGTGATTTCTCTTTCCATTCATGTCTGCAGTCTTGTGATTTCCTTACATGTCCCTGTAATATATTCCCAGTCCTATGATCATTGTCTCCCCAGTTAAAGGATACATGATATAAGTTGTTAGCTCACTGTTAACAAAAGAAAAGAATACGCTTGTGATGTGAATTGAAAGATAAGTATTTTTTCTAAATTGTACTTTATTATGATACATACAAACTTGGGATTTACAATCTCTCTGGATATTTTGGATTTCAATGGCCAAAAAGGCAAGCCACAAGAATGAAACTTAAGAATATAAGGATGACTTTGCATAGTAGATGCTTTACAAGGAGGAAAGAAGAATCTTGATTTCCAATAACATTGGTCCATACTTTTGGGTTTGTAGGAGAATCCTAGCCAGCTGTTCAAAGGTGTCAAATTTTGCTAAAGTAAGATACAGAGTCATTAGAGAATCATATTTGAAGATTGGTACTTGTACTAGGGTTGTCAAAATGAGCCCAAATATAGGTAACCTGTCCAATCTGTATCAGAACTTTATGGGTAGAGCGCAAGATAATTTGAATTAGGTTCAATCTCAACCAATTTTTAAAGAATCTTCAATTGAGTCTAATTTAATCTCCAATTTTAACCCGTTATAAAACTCTTTATTTGCATTAATGTAATGTATGTTCTCATATTTAAGGTATGAATTACTATCTAATTTATATCTTCTACGATTTATCTATCCATTTGTAATTTGTTTTTGTTATTTTTTTGAGTTGTAATTCAAATTTTGGTTATAAAAGTTAAATAATAATAATATATTAAAATTATTGTGATTAAGCGGGTAAAATTGGGCGAGTCATGACCCAACTCGATTTTAGCTCATTTGAGCCCAACCCATTTGAGCCAAAAGTAAACCTGGGCAGGTCATGATCCAACTCGATTTCTATTTCAACCTAGTTTAATATGGAAAAATTACCAAATACACAACTTATTTTTTCTCACTCTCTCATAATTTCGGATACATTACCCCTTTTCTTCCCACTTCACGCTTAACTCTTCAAATTCACACCTAAAATCACGGCATGTATCAACGGTTACTTCCAACTCACTATTTTTAAATAATAATCGTATTATTCTAGATTTCTTTATCAATTTCAAGTTTTTAAAAAGGTAGAATAATTTCTTCTATCATTTTTTTGCTTTCAGTATTAGATTTTCTAATCAATTGTTTTAATTTTTTGATGTTCATTTTAAATATCTGGTACATATGAATTCTCGTCCATCGTTTAGTATTGGTCATACCCAATCAGTTTCACAAACGAAAGATCTCACCCCTCGTGTTTTTTATTAGAATAAAGATGATTTTCATGAAAATAGATCTAAACACCGCGACGATTCATTAATGATGAAGAAATTGCTAGAGGATAATTTGAGGAAGTATACATGTTCAAGTTCGAAATCCCTATTCTCTAACCCCCTCATTAATGATCTCAATACTATGAACAGATACATGAACTCATTGTTGGCTGTCTTGTGCATCCTTACATATGACTTAAGAGTTTGGATACACAGTATCTAACATATGGATGTATCTAGGCATCTGTCTATATCCATCTGTTGGTTTACCCCCTTTAACATCTCTATTGCACGGTCTTTAGCACGTCATGCTTTTTTGATTCGTAATATCAACTCCATATGCAGCTTTAAAATTGTCAATTATGTCATTTGGAGTGTGAATTCTCTTATGATTAACCAATTTCGAAGCAGCGACACCACTAACAAAGGGTACCGTAGCTTAAACTTTGTTGAATATCCTTTCTTTCAATGGACATGTATGTACTTGAAATATCTCACTCTGAATACATCAGAGTTTTCCCTAAAAGTTTCATAGTCCAAACACAGTCCTCCGAGTAATATTTTAAGACATAGTTATACTTTTTGTTTAACATAATGTATATCAAATTTAACAAATTTCAAATTTTATTATGTATCAGATATATATTAACTATCACAATGTAATGTATTAATCACAAAAAAGAAAATACTATAGAAAACAATTACATGTATAATGTATCGATCACAAGCCAAACATCTTATTGGCAACAACTACATGTTTAATGTATCTTAATACAATACTTATCAATTAAAACAAGATACATATAAATAGTAATGTATCATGATAGATCTATCAATTACAGCGATGAGCGTGATTCTTCAATTTTATTATACCTATCGTTTTCTTTGTTTTAATCATCGTAGTATTCATTGTTGCTACTATTTTTTTCTGCTTGACTTCTTCACTGTTGTAGTTTCTTTTCATATTATTCTTTATATGCTTTACTCGAGCCGAGAGTCCCTCGGAAAACGCGGCCCTTCCCTAAACTTCTTCACATTTCTTTTTCATATTAGGGAGTGCAACTTGGTGGGCATATAGATAAACCAAGAATATAAGATTGGAGAAAAAACCCCCAAAGAAGAGATGATTTTCAAAGGCTGGCAGTTAGGCTAATAGAGTTGATAAACTGACCCCTTTGTTTGATCATGAAAAGTATGACAAGATACAAATAGGGACCATATATGATAATGTCATTGCATTAAAGTATATGTGATGCATTATTTGTCAAAAAAGAAGAGGTGCCTTCCAAAGTAAATTCAAATGATGATATATTCTCTTGGCACCATTGAAAAAGATGAAGAGCCTTCTTTATCTAACCAAGTCAACATAGTGCCAATACACATACACACACAAATATTCACTCATTAATTTCCATGAAATTAATGGCCCTTCTGCATGATTCTCCCCTCTCCTCTTGCCTTTGCCTAGCATCATGGTCCCCATGATAAATTAATGAATTCAACAAAAAAGAAAAACATAAATGTATGTACACATATAATATATGAGTAGTCATAATTTTATACACTGTTAACCTAATTGAAACTACCTACAACAATAATATATCCGGTATAATTTCACCACCCGAATTTGAACTTGGGAAAAAAGGATTTGCAGTCCTTTGACTTACCACTCGGCTATGTCACCATGTATTTAAGAGTGAATATTACTTATTTAATAGGACTTAATAGTTTTCAATACATAACATTAGAATTCTAACAATACATAACAAGTATAAAATGAATTAAAAAAGAAAACAGAAAAAGAAAATAAAAAAGGACGCACATAATTAATTGACAAATATCTTGTCCATAAATAAAGACTTTTGAAACTGGTAGAATATATCAAGAAAAAAATCATTCCACTTGTGTATTTAATTATAGGACAAATTACAGAAATACACACATTTTGTTTCACTTATTTCCATTATCCCCTATTACTTTTAAAAATCTCCAAAATCCCTTATTTTTTTAATGTATCTGAGCTGCATATTAATGTATCCGAGCCAGTATTTAATATATTTGAGCTATTTTTAATATATCCGAGCTACATATTAATGTATTCAAGCCAGTATTTAATGTATTCGAGCTACATATTATGTATCAGAGCTAGTTTTTAATGTATCCGAGCTTCAATTATTGTATCCAGTTTTTTTAATTTTTAAGGAATTAATGTAATTAGAAACTTATTAGGGATAGATTATAATTTCATATTAAAACTATGGGATTTATGTAATTTGCACATTATTATATTACATTTCATAAATCTACCATCAGTAATGACTAATATAATAATTTAATTACTAGTCATAACAAAGTCATAATAATTTATACCTTAGTTGCAAATAAAAAATTAAATTACTACGAATTTGTTATGACTAATAATTAAACTAATTATATTAGTAATTTTCAAATTTTAGATGTATTGAATGTAATATATAGTCTTAAATATAGGTGATATTCCCTTGATATATCATTTATATACAGGATATTTGGTCAATTCATTCTGTGCATTCTTTTTTAAATTTAGTTTATATTTGTTATGTGTTAGAATTCTAATGTTAGGTATTGAAAACTATAAAGTTCCGTTAGGGCTAGTAATATTCACTCTTAAATAATTTAATATAAATTATTACGAATCTTTTGTTGGTTTGGTGATTGTGGTATTCGGGTCAATTTTGTATATACTCTGACTAATTTAATATTTGTCACTTTTTATCACCAGTAGCCAATATGTATAAACAAATGAAAAGAAATCACCTAATGTTTTTTTTTATCTTAGCTGAAATTACCACAAGGTTTTGAGAGAGGGTCTATTTGGATAGACTTATAACTTATGATTTATAAGACAAAAGTCAAGTCATAAGTTAAAACTTTTAATTTATGATTTTTTGCTTAAAAACCAAGTGTTTGAAAGTACCTATTTTATTTTTATTTTTATTTTTATTTTTATTTACTCTTACTTAAAAAAACAAACTGCTTAAAAGTATCTGAACAAGCCAATTCAAACAATACTTTTTATTTGCAACTTTTTTGTATGTAACAACTAACTCGTCTTAATGGAAAATTGGACCGACAATCCAATAAAAAGTTTTAGCTATAACTCATGTTATTACGTAGATAATATAATTAATAGCGTCAACTATATTGGAAGATTAGTATACTTTGATTAGTGGGGATTCATAAAGTTATATTAAAATTATTTTTGTATGAGTTTCATGAAATCTGTTATTAATACTTACGTTAGGGTAACTTGCTAAATTACATCCCCTTAATTGGGGATATAATACTTTTATGAATCCTACATATGAACGCAAGTTGTTTCGCACATTTTCTTTAAAATAGTTTTAAAAAGCAATACTTTGATTAGTATGAATATCAAAGTTCATATATTATTGATCTATTCTTTTCTATTTTGACGATATGATATCAAGAAAAAGGTTATTAATTTTAATGCACTTGAAATTTTCCTACATAATCATGGACGACAAGCTTCTAGTCGAAATAAATAGATGAATTATTTTTGTATAGTAGTAATTATTAATATTAGTTTTTATCATTATTATGTTTTTAGATCAAAATAATTTAGCACATTTTTTATCATCTTTTTAAAAAAAAAATAATTAAAGATTTTAAAAAGCAGATAATATATTTTGGTAAATGTCATTGCATTTCCTTTTTTCCAATATGTTGGTCCCCTGAAGTATCCTTAATTAAAGATTGACCCCACTTATCTGAAGAAAAAGCACATATTCCCCCTTCTGGTATTCGTAATTTTAACTTTTACCATTTGGAATAACATTTTTTTTATATAAAAACAAAG